TATATTTCATATATATATATAAATTAAAAGTAAAATAAAGTATCAACATTTAGAAAATATTTATATCTTTTTCATATAGAATTATCTGATGTCTATCATGATTTTACCAGATTTTTGTAAAAAATTAAAAACCTTATGCAACTTAATTTATAAACAGGGATCATATCATTCATTATACAGGTTTTATTTTTAACCATATATTTTCAATTTTTTTTAAATATTTATTTGTATAATATTTAAATCATTAACCTATATATTTGTTTTTTGTATGAATGATTCATGAATTTATAAATTATAATTTTCATAATTTAATTATTTAAATAATATTTATATATATATATATATATATATATATATATATATGAAGATATTCGAGTTTTAACATATGTTATATTTATTTTAAAACGCTCAATATCATTTTTAGAGGTTATATGTAAATATAAATATAAAAGTATATTGAAATCAACATGGTATTGATATCCAAATTCATCATTTTTATATATATAAAAAAAAAAAACAATTAGATATATAAATCTGGTGTTCTTATTGATATTTTTTTATTTTTATTTTTAAAAAACAGTGCTCAATGTAAATTTATATAGCATAAATATTATAAATTAACTGATTTAAAATATGGTTTTTTCGCTACACAGTAATAACCATGTTTCAAAAACTGAAAGTTAAAAAAACTTCAAATTTAATTATATAATTAAATTAAAAGCATTAGTTCTGTTTCATCTTCAAGCGAATTTTGGAATAACTTATTTTTAAATTTACTGAGTTTTAAACACACATATAAATTCTTAATTTCCTGTTTCCAAGGATACAGAAAATCCAATCATTCAGACAAGGGGTTAGCGTGTTCATTTTTATTAACTATTGTTGTATCAATTATGAGTTACGTTCGAAAAAGAGGTTAAGTTTAGGGAGGGTAGGGGTGTATTTTTCAACGAATTCTGACATCCGTTAAACGCATGTCGTCTGGGTTTTTTTTTTTTAATGACAAAAAAAAAGTTTTTTTTTTTTTTTTTTTTTTTAGTATACTTAAATTTCTATCTAAAAGGGGTTTTTAGAATACGTTTTATTTAACTTTTTTTAAAATATTTTTACTCTTTAATTACTAATAGACTATATTTTTTTTAAATCAAGTAAATGTAATAGAATTACTTAAATTATTTTAAAATTATTTTTTCATATCAAATATAAGTATATATATTACCAGCTCCCATTTTTTTATTTTATTTTAAATATTATTTAAGGAAAATTTTTGACATTGACGGCAAAGAATAGCTATTTCATTTCTTTGATTCAGTAAATTTTTATTTTTTATAAACTTAGTAATATATAGTTTCTCATGTATGCACAAAGGACGTGGGTCATTTAATGACCTACATATTCTAGCTTTTCTTATTAATTTCCATTTTACTGTAGGTGTTTTATTTGATTCTTTTAAGTGCCAGAAATATTTTGAAAGGGATGTCTGATTTTTTATATTTATATTTTTTTTTTTTTTTAACTTGGTTTCACCCCAAAATTTTTTGAACCACTAGGGCATTGTAAACCTATATAGATAATTTGGATTTTTATCAGATATTATGATAAAGATAGGATTATGAGAAATGTAGTGGATATTTCAAAGGCAACTGGATTGATGTCGATTGACATTAAATATATATATATATATATATATATATATAAAAATCATTAAAACATTATCTAATCTGGAAAAGTCTTTTTGATGAATGACAAGCATTGCATAAGGTTTTTTAGATATTGTCATTCAGTTACCTACCATAAAAATTGATGCAATCTGCCAACTAATACAACTTGACATCAAATTAAACAGTTTAAGAAAATTGATTGTAACTTTTCGAAACCTAATTGTCATTTACCAAAAATTCATCGTTTAATGATTCTAAATGGCGCCAATATTTAAATAATATTTAAAATGATTATTTTTAAAAACACTTATTTTTAATGCATCATTTTATAACAATTATTTTACCATTATGACACTCTCAATAGTCAGTGCATTATTTAGGCAATTCTAAAGTTACTGTTGTATGTGAGACCAAACAGAAAATGTATGTTTGTGTGGGATTGAACCTGCAGCCTTGTTATTCAAATGTCTGACAAGATATAGATTTAAACTGCCTCATAAAATGAGGATATGCCTTGAAAGTTGAAATAAAGCATTAACATTTCCTTTTTCATCATCTCTTTTTCCTTGTGTGTGCATGTGTAATGTTTATGTTTGGTACGTGTTTGTCTGTCTGCGTACACGCACACACACACACACACACACACATGCATATGGACAGAGTTAACATGGCAATTATTTTGGAAAGGTTAAAGAAACTTGAGAAATGAATACCAGTTTTGTTGAACATGTGGAATTGTGTGTACATTTCATGGCTAGCTAGTATTGCTTTCAGTTGAGCTGGTTTAGAAGCTTCTACCAAACATGAAACCACTTATTCAACACCAGGAAGAAAAATGGCTTATCAGCCACTCATTTTTTCATTCCTTTCAATAAAACATAGGCAACAATCCTTCCCATAACTAAATATATTATGTTTCTACCTCTAAAGAAACACAATATCTTGAAAAATCTGAAAGAAAATGGTTAAATCCTTAACCTCATGTTATTCAAAAATATATAACACATAAATTAATCCCAAAATAAAATAATATACTAATTTGCATAAAAAAATTTCAAATACATCAATTTCATTTATTAGACATTGAATTTATGAGTGTTCCTAAACTTAAAACTTTTGAAAAACCAATAACATTTTTGCTCTTGTATATAAATACTTGTTACAAAATAAAATCCTTGCATTTGCCTCGGTAATGTTCCTCAGAGGATGAAACGTGTCAACTAACATAAGTTTTCCTTTTGTCTTTATTCACAACTACTACCACAAAAAACTTGATACTAAATGTTTAAAATTAATTTTTAAAAATGAAAAATCTTTTTTGAAGCTTTTATTTTAGTTTTAATTTCAAGCTAATAAATTAAATTTAATATTTCCAATAAAAAAAAATACTTTGCTGTACTTTAAAATTAATTTAAATTGACTGGAGGGAGCTTTTTTTTTGTTTTGAAATCGCTAAAAATTGCTGATTTTAGTGACTTTTATCCATCTGTCAGCACAATATAATTCTCTTTATTAAAAATCTTTCAAAAATAAAATATACATTTTGAAACTTTATTTGGGGAACATTAGATGATTTAAAGTTTAATCTGATTTGAAAAAAATATTACTTACTTTGAGTTTAAAATATCAGAAGAAACAAATTTTTTAACACAGGTAGGTGTTGACAACTCTATTCACAGATTGACAACAGGAAGTTCATCTAATTTTTCTCTATGTTCATATCTGTAAAAATTACTTGAGGAATTTAACATGAATGCCTTTTTTATATAATTTTTACCTATCCTGTAAACTTCAAAATTTAGGAAAATATTCTTCATAATCTAATGTTTTATTGGATTTTAGGTATTTTGGCTTTAAATTTACTATAGTTAATGCTCTTATTTTCTGATAATGTTGTGTATGGATGACTGTATTTAAAATATTGGCACATTTATACACACACACAAAATGCAAAATTCTTTTTAAAATACTGGGGGTTGCTGAATTGTAGCAAGCTTTTCCATTTATGATTAGAGAATATAGTTTTTACCATATCACTTAATTTAAAACTTTGTAAATCATTCTAATTAAAATTTTAAAAAAATGTAAACAATTCTTGTAAATATTCATTATTCATTAAAAAAGAGTTTTTGAAGACGATAAAGTTCATAATATATTTTATTCATAAAACCAATTAAAAGCTTTTATAATTAAATAATGCCTTAGTCCTATTACATTTTTTATTTTATGATTCAGAGCAGATTTTCAGTAACTGGGACATACATTACAAAAAAATTGTTTTAAATTTTCCAAAGACTTTTGCTTATAACTAACATAAACATTAATTAAATAAGTGTGTGTGTGTGTGTGGGAGGGGGGGTAACAGATGTAAAAAAAAATATTTTTACAAGATTTTCTACTTCATTTGTGAATAAGGCCTGAAAGTTTCATTAAAATCTGGCAATTACTTAATTTTTTTCAAGAATCAATATGTTTTTTCACTGCAAAAAGATGCTAAAATATTCTATGGTAATTGATGGTCAACTCCTGATGCAAAAAAAATATATTTAACCAACATCTTGAAGGTTATAAAAAGGATTAAAAAATATAATTTAATAATAAAAAAATATACTTGAGTCTTTCCTCTTATTAATAACAAAGATTTTGCCAAAACTTTTTTTTATTAAGTTTGGGGCATTTTTTTTCATTATGTATGCTAATTTATTGGTGACTCTTTGGAGGGAAATATATATTACATTTTTGTGTGTCTGTGTGTGTGTGTTTATATATATATATATATATATATATATATATATATATATATATATATATAAAATGCACATACATACATATATTTTTTCTCACCTGTTATAAAACAGTGCTCAATGTTAAATAAGAGCTATTAAGTATATATTAGTGAATATATATAATATCCTGTCAATATCACAACTTGTTTCATGCAAAAATGCATAATCTTCAATCTGAAGATTGCATATTTGCATGAAACTCTGAGTAGTGCTATTGACGTAGGATATTATGTATATTCACTAAGATATATGAATTATTACTCAAGAAAAGAACTTCAAAATAAATTGTTATTTGATCGGATATTGGCAAGTGGATTGGGCCAAGAAAATTTCACCACCCTCTTGTATATATGCCTATGTATAAAGGAAGGTATAAATTTCAGCTATTTACTCATTTAATAATGTTCTTGTTTCAAAATGATAAATTACTTAATTTGTTTTTGTGTTGAACATTTTAGGTTTCTCTCTTTGCATATGTAGCATTTTTAGGTTTTGTGTATTTGCATATGCAGCATTTTACTTTTGATAGATTACCTCAACACATTATACCTTTATGTTCAAGGGACTTGTTAAAGTTGTTGTTCCAAGTGCTAAGCATTTGCTTACCTCGCAGGAGGTGTGGCATTTCTCTTAAATGAAAGCAATATATATTTTCAGTACAAATTCAGATGGAACATAAAAATGCTATTCACTATTCACTCAAGTGTCCATTCTGGTAAATTAGCCCCACACCATTTATAAAATATCTCCTTTACACTATAATCCTGTATCGAATATCCCTGAATAAAATGAATGTCTATGTATGTGTATGTATGTACACATACATACATACACACTTACATACATGCATGCATGCATGCGTGTGTGTGTATGTGTGTATATATATATATATATATATATATATATATATATATATTCCATTACATCATTTCATATCCAAGTTGTTTTGGTTTTTCTTGGCTTATTGCCAGAATGGAATTTCCTCTTTTTTTTACTTCTCTTATGTGCACTTGAAATTTTTTTTCCTCCTTTTTTTTTTTTTTTTTTTTTTAATTCTCTGTAGCTTTGGGCTAGATCTCACTTACCCTCTCTTACTCTTGCACCTCTTCTTGTTGCTCTTAAATCCTTTCTCTCTTTTTTACTTTCTCTGAAGATTTTAATTTCCCTCTCACTCTTTCCCTCTCTCTCTTCTTCTTCTCAAATTCTTTCTCTCTTTGTTTTACCATCTCTCTCTCACCTTTTCTCTGGAGATTTTCATTTCCTTTCATTCCCTCTCTCTCTTCCTCTCAAATCTTTTCTCTCTTTTCTTTTTACCTTCTTTCTTGCCTTTTCTCTGAAGATTTTCGTTTCCTTTCATTCTCTCTCCCCTCTTCCTTTCAAATCCTCTCTCTCTCTTTTTTTTACCTTCTCTCTCACTTTTTCTCTGGAGATTTTAATTTCCCTCAACTTCCTCTCTCTATCTCTCTTTTGTAACCTTCCTGCCTTTTCCACTTTCCCTACTTTCAAGATCTTGATACCCATATTGCTCCAATGGCTAACATATATAAGTAGTCGAGATAACTCACTGAATAGAGCATTCAAGCCTGAAACAGACTGTTGCCACTCAGCGTTAACATCAGTGACTACACTTCTTATATTTACTCATGCTCTATCTTTGATATTGAGCACCTTTACTGTTGTAGAGTAGTTTTCACAGTGGAGGCTTGTATTTCACTAAGTCGGTCCTAAAAAAGGTTTGATGTGCAAAACGTTAGGACCTTGAAATAATAGTTAATGACACAGCAATCTAGTTGTGGTGGTTGATACTTTAATGTTCGACATCGACTGACTCAACCAACTCACTGAGCCCCCTGGTGACTGCTGCTGCTACTAATACTACTTATAATAGGTGGGAGAGTATATTAACAATAGAATAGGTGTGTTTCAGTATGACATTTACTCTATAAATATTGATTCCCTTTAAACTATAACTTATGTGTGTGTGTGTATATATATATATATATATATATGTGTGTGTTTGTGGTTAGAACATTAGAATTCTAACCATGAGGCCTAGGTTCAAATCTCACCATAGCCAATTTGCCAAACTTGACTTCTTGATAATACCAGCCTATGGAGTAGATCCCAACATGCAGCACCATTGAGAAATGACAGTCACTCAAGCCTTGTGAGTGAAAGTGAGTAACAAAACTGCTTGGTTATACTAGCATGAAGGTACAAATCATTGTGACTGGCCTTGTTCAACTGTTGATTACACCAGATTATTCATTCTCTTCCAGAAACTAAGCAATTAGGTGATGTTGTTATTATGTAAAAACTATATTTACTATATTACTAAATGGAAAAGCTTGCTACAATTCATTACTCACCCCAGTATTTTATAAAGAAGTTTGAATTTTTATGTCTTTATAAATGTACCAATACCTGTGGAGAACTTCTTAAGAAGAATCCATCACCCATAAGGCTGCATAGACACTTTTTGAACTTTATCAAGAGTGGAAAGGAAAGACTGAGTATCTCCAGGCTGGATATGGCAGAAGTACTCCATTTTTGGCCAACACACAAGTTTCGTTAAGGACCAATGAAACTTCTTTGACAATGATTTTTAATTTATTTTTTCTATATTTCAGATCATTTTCTTGGGTTTTAGTACAGATTTAAATATAAATATTCCACTGTCTGATAGGAGGCATGGTGGAGTAATGGATAGTGGCTTGGATTGGAGAATCAGAGAGCCGAGTTTGATTTCCAGTCAGATCCATTACGTGCTAATATCCTTTGGAATAGTATGAATCCTCTTCTTCTCCCCTCCACCTATGGGTAAATAGCAGGACGGACTAGGTTCTATAGCCTTGGATGGCAACTGGTCTACCACAGAAAGAAATGGCAAACTACTGTGGGAAAAAATCTGCCTTATTAGTCATGTATCGAAAGATAGATGATCACCTAAGTATGTATCACGCATGGCACATAACTGATCTATCTTGGACTGTTTATATATATTTATCTATCTCAGTCTGTTCACATCTATCTATCTATCTATCTATCTATCTATCTATCTATCTATCACAGTATGCTGATATCTATCTATCTATCTATCTATCTATCTATCTATCTATCTATCTATCTATCTATCTATCAAAACCATTACATTCACTTATGTGCTAATACCCTTGGGAAAGGTATGAATCCTCTTCTTCTCCCCTGTGCCCAGCTATGGGTAAATAGCAGGACAGACCAAGTTCTATAGCCTTGGATGGCAACTGGTTTACCGCAGAAAGAAATGGCAACCTACTGCAGGAAAAAATCTGCCTTGTTACTCATGTATCGAAAAAAGATACATGATCACCTAAGCGTGTATCATGCATGACTGAATATTTGATAGTTTTGGCTATAGTTAATAGTCATTGATGACTTCAGTTTTTACACTATGTCAGTTTTTTCATTTTTTATTTAGTATGTTTTGTTTGTTTCTAAATTTGATGACATTTTATTGATGTTAACTTGTTTAGTTTTTATGCTTATAATAATCAGAGTCATTTAGTCATTATTTTTTACAGTTTGTGATATAGCACTTTTGTGCTATTTATGAGGATTTGTCAGATTACCTGTGCTATTCCAGTTGTGTTGCTTGGTGATATGTGATTTAATTGAGCTGCTATTAGATAAATGTCATGTTAGACAGAGGTAAAATGTAGTAGTTGTCAATTGAAAGCATTAAGCATAAAAAACTAATGAACCAGCATCAATAAAATTATATCAAATTTAGGAACAAATATATAACATAAAAGGGAGAAATCAATAGCATAAAAGAAGAGTCTTTGACAAAGCCAGAAGTACTCAGTCATTGGACAGTTTAGTCTCAATAATGCACTGGAAATATAAAAGAAAAATCCTTAACAATGAAATTTTATTGGTCTTTCATTGGCTAAACTTGTATAAATAAAAAAATTGCTGCTCAAACACAATTCCCTTCTCTCTCTCAAAATATATATATGTATATATATATATATATATATATGTATGTATATATATGTATGTATTCAAGTATATACTGTTAACTATAACAGACAATGAATGTTTATTATGTTTGATCATGAGCCATTCTAAGCTTTTTATAGTGGCTTTAGTTTCAGGGGGAAATAAAGATGAAAACTGATTAACATATGGATATTTTTTTATTATGCTGTTCCTCGATTTAAGCTTTCAGCTCACATGAGCCATCATCAGATTGGTTATATGGACATTACAACAGAGTTGTTCACCATCAAAGATGACATCCTGTTTACAGTCACAACATATTACAATGCATTTAAACATATGGTTCTGTTGATAACATTTCTTTCTCTCACATGGTCATGTACAACTTCAGAACTGCATTACGAATTTACTACCTGCATCTACTATTCTGCGATTGTTATCGTCACATAGCAAACTTCTCTGTAAATGAAACAGGATGTCATCTTTGGTGGTAAACATCTCTGTGAACATCACTATAATTAAATAATATATGTGGGTAGTTTGGCTGTTCGCTTCTTAGAACTAAGTTGCTGGACCCTTATATGTTGAAAACGACAGAAGAAATATATATATATATATATATATATATATTTATATATACACACACACACACACAAACATATATATATATATATATATATATATATAATACCAATTGGTAATTGGTAAGAATAATTCCAAATCCTCTTTCTCTTTCTCTCTTCCCTAAATTAAAAAAAAATATCTATACTGAAATTTTTATTTTATTTTTGTTTCTTCCTTTAAAAAATTTTTCTTTTCCTTTTTCTCCTTTTTCCTTTTGTCTGGACAAATTGATTTCATTTCTAAAAAAAACATTCAGTCTGAAGAGATGAATATTTAAATATATTCATTAAATAAATTATAACCGAAATGGATTTTTAAGGATCGTATTTACTTACATATTTTTCTCTTCATTTTTAAACTAACATTTAAACTCTTGTTTTCCTGCCTGCCCAAAAGAAAATGTAAAGAATTGCTTTCTAATGGCAACTTGTGGTTATGTCTTGATATGTTAGCAGTTTTACATGTAACTGATCCTCAAATAAAATGAGAAGCAAATGACATTGAGAATGAAATTTCTTTTTGTATGGTTTTTGAAAATTAATTCTTTTGCACTTCTGAAGTGAGATTTGCAAGCCTTCGGTTTTAAGTGTCATGTAAATGCTTTTAACTCTAATTGATCGAATGCTCGGCTTTTAATTGTCAAGCTCTGTTTACAGTTCTTAATCACAGATATTTTTAGAAGTGAAAAGAATGTTGTAAAAACTTGAGATATTAGAATATGTAAGAATCTATGATATAATAATTAAAATATATCTGAACTGTGAGAGTGCACTGAAAATTTCAAAGGCTGACTCTGAAGGAGTGATGCTAGAGCTGTGAAACCTTGCATGCATTAATTTCAACTCTTCTTCTTAATAACTGTATTGTTTCTTTCCAGGTACAAGGGTGGGCTGAAAAGTTTATAGGCTGACTCTGAAGGAGTGATGCTAGAGCTGTGAAACCTTGCATGCATTAATTTCAGTGCTTTGTATTAATAACTAGATTGTTTCTTTCCAGGTCAATTGACATTTGACTGTTCAAAGAAGACTTCAAATGTAACTAGTAACGACTTTTCTTGAATATGGAGAGAATTTGGCATTGAAAGAATGTTAACCGCAAGGAGGACTGTTGAAAAATAAACCTCATTTGGTCACCTTCCATAGGAGTATCTTGGGCAGCCTATGAACTTTTTAGCCAACACTCGTATTCATTATAAATATTTGTACAGTTCTTAGATATTTAACTGGTAATTTTTAAGAGAACATATTTTTACAAATTAAGCTTTTTTGAGTTCTGGGTCATTTAGATAAAAGACTTCAAAGAACTTTTTGTTTTGGTCAGATCCTCTTACAAGTGGAAATCTTTGATCCAGGTATTCGTTCATTGGCACCAAAATTAAGCGAAATTGACTGGCAAAGTCAGTTGTTGTCAAATCTGGTTCAGAGCAATCTGTTTACTACCATTTGCTGATCTGATATTTAAACTATACCACAAAAACCAAGCAACTCTCAACTGAATTTATTTTGAAGTATTTCTAACTTCGTGCCAGTAAGCCTTTATGTGATTTTCCTTTTTAGCCACTGACCATAATCACTAAAATTATAATAAAGCCTCCTTTTACACTATTTACATTATTCAGACTATTGTCTGTCCTCATCTTTGTCACCATATTTATTACAACGTTTCAGCCGTTGTACGCTCCAGCCTTTTTCAGGTGGTTGGAATGTCGAACTGAAACATTCCAACCACCTGAAGAAGGCTGGAGCATACAAATGGCTGAAACATAATAAATATAGTGACAAAGATGAGGACAATAGTCCGAATAATGTAAATAGTGTACATAATACCTCATTTCAGAAATATAGACACTGAAGCCTCCTTTTGTTTATTAGGAAACTTAGTTGGTCTTTTCTCATTCTTTTTACTTTCGTTATCATTTTTCTTTTGTCGCACACATGACAGTAATAAAGTTAGAAAAATTCTTGATAATAAAAAATAGGCCAGTAATAATCCTTTACTGTCAGTAACTGACAATCTATTTCTTCTTTTTAATAAATTTGATCTCTATCAAAGCAGACAAGTGAGCTGCCTGTCCTCATTTGCCTGTTTTGATAAAGTTCAAAAGCATCTACGTGAACTTGTGGGTGATGATATATTTTCCATTTTATGACCCCCCTTTCCTACAGATGAATCATTGCAACTTGGTGCTCTGTTAATATTTCCATGGCATGTATTCTAATGAGTTACATTCCTTAGTCCCACCAGCCCTGACCTTTACAACTGGGACCCGCCATACCACATACACAAGAGTGAATCATCCCCATTCCCTTTGTATTCCATTAGTAAGGAGTAAGTTCCACTTGGACAACTTCTTCCCAAGAACTGCTGCTTTGTGGAACAGACATCCAGCAGGATGTTTTCCCGAACACTACAATCTTAACTGCTAAAGTTAACCATTATCAAGTTCACTTGCCTTTTTTTTACACTCATACAACACCATACTGTAACTCTATCTTCAGGGGCTCTTTGTCATTGTATTGAGTGAATATTTGTATAAAAAAAAATTTTAATTATAAAATAAATTTGTTTGGAGATATTTACCTTTATTTCAATATATATTTAAAAATGTTTTATCAAATGTGACATCTTTGTTTATTGAAAACAAAATAAGCAACATCTGGCATATTATGAGTCTTTTTTTTATTTTAAGAAAGGTAAAAATGTAACCCAGTCATTGTCAACAGGGCCTAATATATTCTGATTGCTTGACCTGCAGAGGGCTAACTTTCTTACCCTCCAAAGAAAGAGGCCACCTGCAAAGTAAATGCTTATAGATTCATATAAATGACCACTACTTGCCTATTTCCAAACCAAGTAAATGTCTATAGACTCGTATAAATGACCAATACTTACCAATCTCCAAACCAAGTAAATGATTATAGACTCAAATATAAATGATGAATGTTTACCTTTCCCTGAATCTACTGTGGCTGGGTGTAGACTATGTTGAATGTTTTCCCTGCAGTGGAGTGCCTCACTAAAAAAGGGTTTATCTATCAAGTAAATGCTTATAGACACAATGTTATAATGATAATTATAATAAAACAACTGATTTTGACGTTATATAAGCCAGTTAAGGAGTTGACAGGTCATAATCTCAACCATCTTATTCCAACCCACATTTATTGTGCATTTGGAAATGATTTTGTGAATAATTTAACATGTCAGATGTGTTTTGCAAAAGGTGACAGTGCTTTGCAATCAGGTCAACCAGATGAGAATGATAGTCCTCAAATCATGGCAATACTTGTGAATAGTTAATGTAAAACATAGCCAACATGCAAAAAATATCCAAATCAAGTGTGGAAAATCAGTTTGGTTATGGTAGCCACTTTAATGTGTGGCTTCCACAAGTGAAAAAAGGATGTTTACCAGCTTGGTTATTTTAGTAACTCCCCACCCCCTTTTTTTTTCTTCTTAATACACTACACTGCCAAAACCTGGACAAACTAATAATAATATCATTTCACATCATGTCCTATTTCTGCTTTCAGTAGATTGCATATTTACATGAATTTTCTTTG